TAATTTCAGCCATATTTTGTGCTTCTAACAGGCAATCCAAGGCATGTTTCACTCATCAGCAATAAGCAGACAGAGATTAGAGCCAAGAGAAAAACATGCAGAATTACAAAAAATAGGAGTATAAAAATACCAGGATTTTTCTTTGATTTAATCTAAAGCAGATATTTATAAATACACTCTTCCATTAATTTCAAAGCAGGTATTACCAATTGGGAAATACCAATTTAAATTGGTAAATACCAATTTAAATCACACCCAGGAATCCTGAATTTTATTAGCGGTACAAATAAGGTCAAGTGTCTGGAACATGGGCTTTTCTAAATAACCTTGCTATATCTAATAGAGAAACAGGTGTGCTCCCTGATGACTCCCGCTGGGACCTGGAATTGGCTTTGTTCTTTCCCTTCATATCTCCACAAACATTTGTAACTGTTACATGCTTAGAGCCAGCTAAAGATTTGAGAAAGAGATTGAGCTTCTCCAGTGAAAAGCTACCCACACTCTCCCCCACTCTGCATGGATACAGAAGGAACGAATCAAGACGTGCAATCCCTAACTAACTGTGCAAATGCTCGTTGACTTTAAATTCTAATACATGCTGGTATTCCAGTTTTGAGTTCCTACACAAATTTGTCAATGTAAAAAGTCAAATGTTTCATATTTTAACAGAGATGAGATGATAACTATGCAACATTCTATAGGTGGTTCAGAAAGTGGCCCAGTTTATACTGTGTTTGCTACTTTCACTTGTAAAGCGTATATGCAGACCCAGACACAGGCATGGGCAAACTGGTAGGCTGCCCAGGGCCTGGACAGAAAGGGGGCCCAAAAATGAAAAGAGAAAAAAATTGCAAAAAAAGTTTTAATGTTGCACATATATGGGACTGGCAATGTTATCAATTAAGAATGAACTATTTAAAGACATAGATACCACAGATACAATAAAGACTTTTGCAACAGGTTCAATTATTATCTCTGGCGAAGAGGGGCCTGATACTAAAAGTTTGCCTGGAGCTTCCAGGAGTCTAGGTACAGCACTGTGTACATGGGAATATCTATCATTAATATGACTTCTGATTCAAAACCAATTCTACTAGGCAGCTTGAGGGACATGGTTCTCATTTCTTGCATGCACTGTAGTGATTCTCCTCCTTTTAATTTGCCTATCCTCTTCCCTCTTTCTAACCCAATGATTTGTTCCCAAGCCTCTTGTTAAAACTTTACTTGCAAATAGGAGGGAGGTTTAGAATGATTTCTCTAGAATTATCCATCCTCCAGATACTCCAGAAAGCCTCCAGTGCCACATGAAATCAATCCCTTTGCTATGCAATCATTATTTGCAGTATATTTTTAAGAGTAAAGGAAAAACATTTCCAGAAATTACACTTCATGCATGATAAGTTGCCCAGTGGTGTTGCCTCTTTCCTTGTTTGCAGGGAGAAGCATTTGTTCAAGGGTTTCTGGATGGGCCAGTAAGCCTTCCTGGGTGTAGAGTGAGGCTTTTGCCATTGCTTACTCCTGGCAAGGAGGGATCCTAAATTGCTTTAAGACTTTGCTTTGTGACATATGTGCAAAATTGTGCGCATAAGTAAATGTTGCTGCAAGTGGCAAACAAACTCCAAAAAACGTAGTGGCCTTGTTTAGATAAGCTTTCCGGAGTAATCTTATTGATCCTTCAAATTTAGAACAGGCTTATTTACAAGATTCTTAGTAACCCTTGCATTCTGCCCATGTACACCTGCTGTGTACTTCCACTCCTAGCTCCGATTGAAGCAGAGAAGATTACAGACAAAGAATAGGGAAAATAACCCCCCAAAATCCCTCTCAGAAGAATAGTCAAATGAACATTTTATCAGATCTCAAAAGTACCATTATGAATGATGTTCAGTGGCTGCTGTATGACTCTCCCCCACCCAGCCCCACCCAACTCACATGTCCATTTAGACCTTCAACCTTTGTACCCCTCATCAGCTCAAGGTGCCCCTCAGAAAATGCCAGCTATTAGTTTTCACTCATTTTTTGACCATGGAAAAATAATAGAGCAATTTTCTATTGCAAAAAACTCAGAAAGACCACAACAGGATAGAATATTTTTAACACTATGGATTCTTATTTGAAATCATTACTTTATCTGGTGAATCATGTTTACACACCCAGCAGTGTTAACATAGTGTGGCATTTTGTGGTACCCCTGAAAGGAGCTTAAAGCAACCCAGGGTGCCATGGTACTCTGGTTGAGAATCACTGATTTAGGCTGAAAAATCAGGGTTGAGATTTTTAAAGCCAATTAAGATCATTAGAAATTGGACATCTAAATCCCCTTGTTAGCTTTCAAAATGTCAGTCCATGTGTAATTTTGCCGCTTTGCCTGAGAGGTACACCAGTATTTCACGTCTTACAGAATGATTTCTTTAGGATGAAAAATCAATTCATACGAGTCAGGTAAATGGTTGGTGTAATGTTTCCTTACAAAAAATGCTTCCCTTAGCACACTGGGTACAAACAAACAGCAGGCAGCTTCCCTGTCAGAAATCTTCAAGACAGCCACTCCAGTGATATCCGTGATCAAAAATTCCTGCCTTCCTGATCCTTTTAGTCATGCTCAAAACCCTACCTGGTGTTCTCTGCTTGTAGCCCCCCGACAACCTGCCACTCAATAACTTACTCCTTGAATTGTCAGACAAACTCCTTAGGCCACATACATTTAAAACTGACCTGCCACATGATGAAGTGCCTTGGACAACTGGGGCATGTCTCCATGAGTGCACACATGCATTTCCCCTTGGACAAAGAGCAGCAGCACATATTTATGCCGTTGCTAGCTGTCCTCAGGTACACCCCTGCATGTGCACTCTGGCTCATGGCAAATTGCTCTGGGTGGGGTAGGGAGGCTGGGGCCAGCACCTGGGCTGGCTCTAGCAGCCTTACCTGGGGCTCTAGGGGCCTTCCAGGGTGGGAGCAGTGGTGATCCAGGCATGTGGAGCCTGGGTGGCAGATGGAGCATGACTCTGGCTGGTCACGCTCCAGTTTTGGGCAGTGCACGCTTCAGCCACATGTGCTACACCACTTTTTTCCCCCATGTGTTTTTTAGATACTGGGTATCTAAATGGTATGTAATTTTGCCATCATACTGCAAACATGCAGCACAGTGAACCAATTCAGGTGCCCTGTGTGAGTTTTGCGATGCCTCAAAAGTCTTTGAGGTGCCACAAAGTGCACATTCCCACTTGTGGGGACATGGCCCTGTTGTATTTACTATCTACATGGGTTTGGTTGTACCTTTTGTTGTAGGCTAGATAGGTCCATAAGGACCCAACACAAGGGTATCATGTAATATATACATGTAAATTTGACCTGATGGAGGGGAAAAATGGTGACATTATACAAAGAAACGCAATCAATAGAAGGATGTGAGGCATTGTAAAATTGCTTTATCTTGCTTTTTCCTGTTGGTTGCTTTTCTAACTACAACACCACCCATCTACCTGTGTGCTCTGTGGGCTTGTAAATACACTTGATTACACTTTCATGTTCATCACCTCTGAACTGAGCCTGTAAAAAGCTGACTAATTGCCAATGTGGGAGTCATTCATAGAAAGAACTCTTCCCTTCCCCATTTTCAGCTGAAAAGTCCATCCTAGTTATTAGTCATCAACTTTGGATCTGGATTTTAAATATTAACTTGAGAGTTACTGGCTTATTTTCTTCAGTTAGTAAAATGCTTTAACATTAGTATCAGAAGGTGTCATTCTAGTGGCCTCACTATGAAACAAAACTATAGAGACTGGATAGATGGGATGTCTCAGGATGTAGGATGGACTTATAGGAAATGTTCTATGGATCTGTACATGGGGAGGCAAGGGGAAGGGGAAGGGCTGAATGTGGTTGTAGCAGTTCTAGAGGGGATGTTCTTTCTTCTCTCCAGGACACTGATACTAAAGCCATGCACAATTAAAGCTAAACTGACATCTGTGGAGTGTTTTCTCCATTTTAGAGAGCCTTCGATAGTGCAACTGAGGACACAACAGGAAAACAGGATTTTCCCTTAAAAGGTTTTTAGTATCTTTTGGTTGATGAGTTTGTGGTAGCTGATTTCTGTTGGCTTGAATGAAATACCTAGGGTATTCCCTAATCTATGCAAAATCTGGAAGAGGACTAGGAATTTGGGGACTGCATGCTTGGTATAGGAAAAGAGAATGTATCTGTGGTATTACTGAAGAATTTCTAGGTAGGTTACAATATCTGATGGATCTTGGGTGAATATTAGTAGCACATTAACACAAGAAATGAATTGAAGGCAATACAGAGTTTAAAATTCTAATGCATGCTAGCCATCAAACAAGGAATTAGAAGTCAGCTGGCTATTCTAGGAGAGTCAGAGGTCTTGGTTTGATTTCTATTCCAGATCTCTCTCTAACCCAGTCTACATGGAATGGGAGTGCTAGAGAAACAGAGGTC